CTTAAGGCGCTTCAGGTATCGGATGAGTTGGGGTTCGTGTCCGCTGTCGTCATCACCGATCAGTATATACTGCGACAGTCGTCGGGCATTCGTGGCGCCAATCGGTGTCTCATACTTCTTGAGCCAACCCCTCATCAGTCGGAACCGATCGCCAAATGTCTCTTTAAAGTCATTCGGAAGCTTATAGTGGATAAGACACTGACACTTCTTGAATCCACTCGAGATCTGTCTGATGGCCGAGTCGTTCACCAATAGGACAGTACCGGTGCGCCACTTATTGCACAGCTGTTCCAAGTCGTAGTGTTTGGTCTCGTGGGTGACCACAACGCACGTCCATTTGGTCATCAGTCGACGCTTTAAGAACTTTATCTCATCGATGGTTCGACAGACGACTGCTATTCGACTTTTATTGCTATCGATAGCCTTCTGTATGACTCTTAGGACAGTGTCTTCACGGTTTCCATCGGCGGTAATCACTTCCACATTGCACTCAATCTTAAAGGCAATCGACAGCTCATAATAGGAGCCAAACGTCACGACCGGCATGTGTTGGATCTCTTTGGCGAACCACTCGACCCCTTGTGTCCATTTGCGGGCGAACGCCATCGTCTGGAAAGCCATCAAATTATCTCCCATTCCCTTCCCGTCCTTCGATAATCTCATTTGTCCTCTAAATTGCATTTAAAACCAAAACAATCAGACAATAAGACACACCACAAGACATGACAAACACATACTTAGACTTCGCGAACGCTATATAAATGTCTTTAATTGCGTTGACGTGTACTTTGAGACACACATCCGCCTCATCTATGATCAGGTATTGAGTGGACGATACGTCTATTATCTGCCAAAACCATCAACAGGTCATCAATTCATACGACACGACCACCACTGACAACACTTCCAACACATACCTCGTCCTGAATGGCCTTCAGCAGTGGTTTGGGAGTCGACACCAATATATCGCAACCATTCATAAGACTTATGTACTGTTTGTCGGCATTGGATGAGTTCAACGACACGATGCGCACCGTCTGTCTACCGGCGCTCACGTCGATGTCCCGCCAACGCTTGGCCTGTTGTGCGATCTCATATGTCTGTCGCGTGGAACTACACATCACTATCGCGCCGATACTCGTCCTCTCGCTACCGGTGCTGAAACGGCTGTCCATATGTGCGGCCGGTTTGTCCAACTCATACATCAATGGTATTAAAAAGGCGTTTGTTTTGCCACTCTTTGGTCCGGAAATACAGCAAACGCTGAATCCCTTGAGAATCGTTGGCCACAAATGCAACTCAAGCCTCACGTCTCGACAGTCGAGGCGTTTGAGTCGCGCTAAGAACCACCGGTCGAACCCATAGGCCTTCTGACAGCTTAGGTAGCCTTTGGGCGCCTGTATTGGCGCGTAGTTCACACACGTGTCCGACGGCTCATCGAAATCTGCGGTGAGAAGACAATATCATTACTGAACCCATGGATCAGTTTGGCAGCGATTGGTGGACACCATTGCGGACCTAATTTGTATCCGGTGTCCAAGAACTCCGATAAGTCTTGTTTTGGTGGCAAAAACACATTCGGTTTCCACTTCTTGGACGCCTCCTCATCCATGCCATCAATCTCTTCGATGTCATTATCGGAATCGTTACCACCAGACGAGTGGTCGGACTCGACCTTCAGGTTCAGTATGGACTCCACCATCGACTCCACCTCATAGTCGGTCATGTCTTCAGACAAATTGCGACCCTTTTTGTGGTCTCTGTTGACCATCATATCGACGAACCCCTCGTTGTATGACTCGAGAGGAATGGTTGGCTCAGTAGACCTGTTGACACGATTGCGGCGCTCGATGTCCGCCCGATCGCACAGGTCTTCGCCCATGAAATGTGTGGCCAAACGACTGCTCGACAGGTAT